GCTGAATGACATGCGCCATCTGCACAGCTGCAGAAGCCAGATGCTGCACAGAAATTCCATTAGCTAGCCCAGAACTCTCATTCCGAGCTGGCTAATGATAGCAGCCAGACTACAAGGTAGATAGAGTATAAGGGTTAGGCGATGCTATGGAAAGCTAATGCCACTAGATGGTGATTTATGCTGTCCTATGGTTAGTTTTGAAGTGTCTCTTGACAGAAGACCAGTTTTCAGTACATTAGGACTTCTCCCATTTATACAATTGTCAGGTTCTGGGTGTTTGTATGCAGTGGAAAGACACTCTTAAGAAACTAGAAGATACCAATGGTCTGCTCGTGCTTTGCACATAGACAGGGTTTATTTACAAGGAACTGACAAAGACATTTTAAATATGAATTTGTATTCTCTGATAGAAACAACTCTAGTCTCATTGCGAATTCACTCCCCCTGGGCAAGTGAAAATTTACCCTTGGTGAGTAGGTTGGTGTGTTCACCCATGGCGAGTATGTTGTTGTTTGCAATGGCAAATACATTTTGAAGCCTGGGGAGTAGAATAAGACTAGCATTAAGACTTCAAACTGTAAGCTTGCTAGGTTCCATAAACACCTGGGGCTTGAACCCAAAACAAAACATGATAAGTCCTACATTAACAAATAGGTTGGGGTATGCCATGACCTGCATTTTATGTTCCCTCATTTCTACCCATGAGCAGTGTGCTTCTGATGCTCTCTGGAATCTCAATAAAAATAATGTTAAACATGCATAGGCATGCAATTCAATGCCACCATATTACCTACAAGAAAAGTTCTTGTTTCCAGCCCCCTCCCAACAGTTACAAGGGGGCACCATCCCCTCTCATGCGAGAGCCTTCTGGAGCACCATACTAGTTGATTTATTTTTATTTTTTATCTGGCAATTACTTTGAAAAAAATTATATCCTTCTGACCCCTCCACTATTGGTAGTGATATGGAGCTGAGTTGATGCCCTGGAAGAGTCCCACATCCAGGGCATCAACTGCTATGGCCTTAGGTATCTGGATATGTTGTGAAGGAGAACCTAACAGTATGAAAGGTACTTAGAAGAATAATGCCAGTCAAGGCTTTGAGAGTTATTACTGCACAAAGTGTTAGCTGACAGTTGGCCTTAAGAGTTACATCTACATTTGCCGTAATGTTAATTTTGTTCTAAGTATTACATAAAATTGTTTCCATTGTTTCCAAATTAGAGGTGTTTTTAGGAGTCCCACAGTGGCATATTTGGGCTTAGTATAGGTCAACGAGGCCGGCAAGAATTAACGTGCAATTAAGGGCTATGCTTTTTGTGCAATCTTTCTACATTAATGAATGGGATTCTCAGTTATACTTAAGAAGATACTGTGATAAAGTATCTTTAACATTTAACCCCAGGGGAAGTACGTCTTGTGTGTGTGGTGTGCAACACAAAGCTACGTTTAGTTCTGGGCCCCTGGGGTGGAGCACTTGGAGAGCAGGGTGGGCCAATGCTCCACTCCTCAGTTTATACACAACTGGGAGAAATAAGGTCCAGGCCAGAGTTTTTTGGAACTGTCTCCAACCCACTGCTCAGCTGCAGATAATCAGCTGTAGCAGTGGGAATAAACCCCTCCCTGCTAGGCAGGTAAAGGGGGATTGCTGGCTTCCTCCCTGGAAGCAGGTGGGAGAGAGGCTGTTCTCTCCAGTGAGAGAGTCAAGGAGATTGAGCACTGGAAGTGCAAAAGGAAAGCAGTCAAGGCTGGCTTGGAGCACTGGGAGTGGAGAAGGAAGCAGTCAAGGCTGGTTTGGAGCACTGGGAGTGGAGAAAGGAAAGCAGTTAAGGCTAGCTTGGAGCACTGGGAGTGCAGAAAGGAAAGCAGTCAAGGCTGGTTTGGAGCACTGGGAGTGTAGAAAGGAAAGCAGTCAAGGCTGGCTTGGAGCACTGGGAGCGCAGAAGGAAGCAGTCAAGGGTGGCTTGGAGCACTGGGAGTGGAGAAGGAAGCAGTCAAGGCTGGTTTGGAGCACTGGGAGTGTAGAAAGGAAAGCAGTCAAGGCTGGCTTGGAGCACTGGGAGCGCAGAAGGAAGCAGTCAAGGCTGGCTTGGAGAACTGGGAGTGGAGAAGGAAGCAGTCAAGGCTGGTTTGGAGCACTGGGAGTGTAGAAAGGAAAGCAGTCAAGGCTGGCTTGGAGCACTGGGAGCGCAGAATGAAGCAGTCAAGGCTGGCTTGGAGCACTGGGAGTGGAGAAGGAAGCAGTCAAGGCTGGTTTGGAGCACTGGGAGTGTAGAAAGGAAAGCAGTCAAGGCTGGCTTGGAGCACTGGGAGCGCAGAAGGAAGCAATCAAGGCTGGCTTGGAGCACTGGGAGTGGAGAAGGAAGCAGTAAAGGCTGGTTTGGAGCACTGGGAGTGTAGAAAGGAAAGCAGTCAAGGCTGGCTTGGAGCACTGGGAGCGCAGAATGAAGCAGTCAAGGCTGGCTTGGAGCACTGGGAGTGGAGAAGGAAGCAGTCAAGGCTGGTTTCGAGCACTGGGAGTGTAGAAAGGAAAGCAGTCAAGGCTGGCTTGGAGCACTGGGAGCGCAGAAGGAAGCAATCAAGGCTGGCTTGGAGCACTGGGAGTGTAGAAAGAAAAGCAACAGGCTGACTAAGCACTGGAGTGCAGAGAGCTGACAAAGACACTAGGTTGGTGAAACCAATATTGTTTTGTTCTAGTTTAAACCCTGAGAGATAGGGAACCTGATGTTAGTAAGTGCTCAGACGAGCTAGGTTTTTGTTTATAGGGATTTGTGTTATATTTTCATTTGCTGCTGTCTCCTGTGTGGACTTACAAATAAAGTGCCTGGATTATATGGAAACCAAAGGACTGTGCCTATTATTTACCCTTGAGGACCATGCTACCTGCAGACAAGGAACACAATACATTTCAAACAAAAACCCTTTAACCCCTTAAGGACACATGTAATGATTCCCTTTTATTCCAGAAGTTTGGTCCTTAAGGGGTTAAAAAGGTGTTTTGGGGTTTTTTTTTGTTTTTGTTTTTTAACCCCTTAAGGACCAAACTTCTGGAATAAAAGGGAATCATGACATGTCACACATGTCATGTGTCCCTAAGTGGTTAAAAAAGGTTCACAGCATGTCTTCTCCACATAATAGTGCCTAACATTGCATAACTGTATTCCTTTTTGCTGCTGAACTATTGCTTCATAACATATGAGAGCTTAATTTGCATTTTAAAAATACACATATTGTATTTTTAGATTAGGTGAGTTTTTGGCTTTATATCATGTGTATCTAATTATTTGCACTTTAAAGGACCACTAAAGTCACACACGACTACATTTCAATGAAGTGGCATGGGTGCAGAGGCAAAACCACTGCACACTGAGGGAGCACATCTAGTAGCCCATGCACTTATGGCCACCCGATGGGCATGTGTCTTCAGGGGCTTGGTTGTGTGCTGTGCCCCTCCACTGCTGGGAGGAAGAGAGAACTGGGCTCTTCCTCCCAGCTAACACAGATTGAGCTGCACAGGAGAGACAGAGGGAAGAAGGGATAGTGGAGGAGATGCAGATTGGGTGAACCAGCTCCTAACTCTCAACACCCTCAGCCAGCAGAAGTGCACCTCAAAAGGTATGAAACAGGATTGTAGATACAAATGTTTACATTTTGACCTGTGTGTGTATCTGTGTGTCAGTGTTTGTATCTGTATTTGTGTCGGTGTGCCTCTGTGTATCTGTATCTGTTTATGTGTTTGTGCATCTGCATGTGTGTGTCTGTACGTCAGTGGTTGTATCTTTGTGTGTGCTGTGTGTGTGTATATATGTCTGCATGTGGCAGTTTGTGTAGCTGTGTATCAGTGTGTGTACCTATGTGTCTGTGTATTTGCCTGTGTGTCAATATATCTGCATGTATGCCTCTTTGTATCTGCACAGGGCCACCATCAGGGTGTGACAACTGTGAAAGTTGTCACGGGCCCAGCGAACCTGGGGGGCCAGTTGCCAGGGCCCGAAATTTCCTAATAAATATCGCTATACAAATGTGCCCCTGCAGGCCCAGGGCTGCTTGTAGTAAAGAGTGGGCCAAGCAAACATCTACATATTCTGGAAGCTCTCTCCTATTCTCACGAGCCCTTCTGCCATTAGAGCATTGACGCAGCTTACCATGGCACGCTCCGCAAAGCAGACTAGACTTGCAAGAGTTGGAGAGAGCACTGGAAGCTGCAGATCACGGTTGTTGAGCCCTCTCATCCCCACTGTCCAGCGCCAGGCAGCCTTCAAGGCAGGGAGGAGGGAATAAAATAAATGAATAATACATTAAAAAAAAAAAACATTTTCCCCACAGAATGCAGCCCTTATCCTACCCCACATATATGCACACACTGTATCCGCTACGCAAACACACACTACATCCACTACACACACTAAATCATCCACTACACAAGCACACACAGCACCCATTACACACACATACACAACATCTATTACACAAACACACATATTGCATCCACTACACACACAGTAATGAGCTTCTTTTAAAGATTTTATGCTGAACTGAGTGGGGGGACAGACACCTGTCTATATCGACACCGTAACACTAAAGAGTTAGGAATACAGGTTTGTATTACTAATTCTTAAGTATTCATTTAAACACACTCTGTCTTCATACCTTATGACTCAAACTAAATTACAGCAAAGTAAATATGATTCTCTAAATTGTTACTCTATGAGAATGAGTAAACTCTGGTTTTCTATATAACTTCTTTATCTTGTAGCCTGTAAACACACATATAGAAAAGGAGCAGTGGCGTACATACCGGAGTTGCGGCTGCGACCAGGCCCGGCACACACAAGGGGGCCCGGCCGCCCTGCGACCCAGTATGTACCCACTGTGGCCAGCCTCTTCCCCTGGGGGGCCCAGGAGCCGGCCACCTCAGGGCCCCCCGAGGCTGGCCCTGCTGTCACCTGGCAGGCAGGCTGACTGGCTGGCGGGCGCGAGGGAGCACTCTCCCCTGTGTGCTCCCTCTTCAGTTACCTCGCGCACCGCACTGATATCGGAGCCGGAAGATGATGTCATCTTCCGGCTCCGGTATCAGTACGTGGCGCGCGAGGGAGCTGAACAGGAAGGACTCAGGGGAGAGTGCTCCCTCGCGCGCCCGCAGGACCGGCCAGCCGGGTGACACCACTGGACCCAAGGGAATCCCCTCAACTCTTCCAAAGGTAGGGAGGCTGGGGGGATTAATTTCTTTTTTTTTTTTAAGTGTGTGTGTGTGTGTCAGTGAGTGTGTTACTGTGTGTGTCTGTTAGTGTGTTACTGTGTGTGTCTGTTAGTGAGTGTGTGTTTTGTGAGTGAGTGAGTGTGTCTGTCTGTCAGTGAGTGTGTGTCTGTCAGTAAATGTGTGTGTCTGTTAGCTAGTGTGTATGCGTCTGTTTGTGAGAGTGTGTGTGTCTTAAGCACTTACCTTTCTCCAGCGCCGGACTCCCTTGGTGCTGGGGATCTCTCCGCCCGATCCGCCTCTCAGCTCCGAATGCGCATGCGTGGCAAGAGCTGTGTGCGCATTCAAACCGCCCATAGGAAAGCTTTACTCAATGCTTTCCTATGGACGTTCAGCATCTTCTCACTGTGATTTTCACAGTGAGAATCACGGAAGCTCCTCTAGCGCCTGTCAATGAGACAGCCACTAGAGGCTGGATTAACCCTCAGTGAAACATATGTTTTAGCTGGAAGGTTAAAAATAGAGGGACCTGGCACCCAGTCCACTTCATTGAGCTGATGTGATCTGGGTGTCTGTAGTGGTCCTTTAAGTGTATGTGTATCTGCATGCACTGGTGTACATACCGCGGTCGCAGGGGTCGCAGCCCTGCGACCAGGTGCCCGCCGCCATGTGTTGTGGCCCCAGCCCGCGCAGAGTAAGCGCGTGTGGGGGGAGGGCACGGATCAGTTTTCGCACCAGGGCCCCATGGGTTGTGTGTACGCCACTGAAAAGGAGGCTTCCTAGAAATAAACTGACAATGCAGTAATTTCTCTCATCAAATCATGTGCACTTTCAAATATATGCCCCCCCGTTTGATGTGATAGAGTAAAGTTTCTGTTGAACCAGTTATCATGATTATATTGCTTTTATAAGTAAATGTAACAACATGTAGCTTTAGGGCATTAGTCTTATAAACTGCTAAAGGCAAAATCTGCCCAGAAATAATTCTTTAATAACTTCAATGTTTATCCCACGCATGTAATCCCTGTGTCTATGGACTCATGACACAGGGAGGGGAGACTGATTATTTTTTTCTCTTTATCACAGCATAGCATCATAGCAATGTCACTGCTACTCAGGTAGCACACACGCATATCTGCAAGAAATGTAAAGCCTTAGGAATTAGATGATGCTGGCAGAAGTCTTTAGGTTATACCATGACCCCAACTAATGGGAACAAATTGGTATCTTTCTGCCTATCTGTCTGTCTATGTCTATCTATCTCTGTCTGTTTGCCCTGTAGGTGTCTGTCTACCAATGAATTTACAGTATATAGCCCATAATGCAAAGCACTACATTAAACCCGGAGTTGTTTTAGTCTTGGGCATATAAAATGCACATAGCACTGAATATACTGTAATATTGATGCGTTATGTATTTTTTTCCAAGTCCACAACTTACAATCAAAATTTTAGGCTACATACACCAACAAAAATTTGCAGTCAGTCATTCACTGAGGCCAACAATTATAATTTTAGCATTTTTCCAGTAAATGGTTTTGTGGCATGTCACTGCAGAAAATGTATGTCTTTTTTTTTTTTTTTTTATCATGTTCTGTGGTTTCTTTATCCACACGTGACATTCTCTACTGCTCGGTGCTGAAAATGGCCCACATTTATCACCCATTGAAAAGAATCCCTTTGTTCTAAAATGAAAATGTTTAAATCCCTCTCCTTAAAAGGAAAAATATCACAAACTAATCAGTTCACTTTCTCACTGTTCACTGAATATGATAACCTAATAACAAAGTTTAATGTTTTGAGGGAAGACTTAAAAACATATTTTAATCACATGAAAAAGGCAGTATGTTCTCCTCCATTTTCCTTGATCAGAGCTCTCATTAGTGGCAAAATAAGTGTAGGAACCTTATATATGTTGCTGACGTGGTGTTAATATTGTCTATGAAATCGTCCACAAAGGCCTAGTTAAACAATGTATTCTATGTGTTTGATGTACTTGCTGTTACATACCTTGGTTGTTTGTGGAGAGGAATGTCTGTTAGTAATCTACATAAAGCAATGAACTATGTCACAAAGAATGATCACATTTTGTCACATGGTGTTATGATTCCATGGTTAATGAAGATAAGTAAGATTAGTACATAACATACTCATGTGGCATAAGGATTAGTGCAAAGAAAAATAAGTGTCACTTTTGTGCTGGGATTCTTTGACGTGGTCACGCCCACAATACTTATTATTACACTATATTAGTGCAGGAGGACACTCTGAGGAAGCCATCCACAAAGGCGCCATGTCTTATAAAAGACTTGTGTGACTGCTATAAGCTATTTACAGAGCTCCACCTCTGAATGGAGAAGCACAGCAATTGTAGGTGGTCGATCCAATTAATTACAGGGTGGAAGACTTCTCAAATGGCAAGACCATATTCATGGCACATAACTATTATTATTGTTTTTATTTAATTTTTTTGTGTTTTTAATTTATGCCATGTTAATTTTTTACAAACTGTTTTTATTGTATTTCTGTTGTAGAGAGGTTGATTTTTTTTTAAATCCTTTTATGTCTGAATAAAGATGTAAGAATATGAAACTTTCTGTGTTTTTAGCTTATATTTTTAGGGCGGTAGGTAAGGAACACATTACTGATGGGTGATTATTCAGGTAAAGGAGAGTTAGTGAGAGTTTTAGCACTTTCTAACAGAGTCTATGTTTATTGTTTGTTTAGTGGTATTGCACCCACAATGGTACTATCCTCAATCCACAGCCCAAAGCGTTAAGGTAGGTGCTGTTCATTCTAGTTATGTTTTTACCCTACACCACACATGCTACTATTTACTGTGACAATGAAAGAGTTAATTTCAGTACGTAGTGTGGATCATTATTTTCTTATCATATCTCCTAACACCAGCTATCAAATCACAAATCCAACACCAGTTTTGGCTTACATGAATTGTATTTAAAGCCATCAGCAATGCTGAGTTAAACTAACTAGTACATATCAACAGCGGGTATGCCATTTTTTCCCATAATGCAAGTAAATTGAGGCAAACATGCAAAAAACACACTGCCCTTAGCTAAATATATCCACATAAAAGATAACATACAGAAAACCATTTAAAGTGTGGTATTGCCTCAAGCAAGAGGTGCCTCTCGCCTTTGAGACCCAGCTTGCAGAAGGTCATTCTATGTGGTATTCTGAGAGTTCTTACATAAAATCTTATTTCAACTGCTCAACATGTCATACTGCAGCTCAGAAAAAAACCAAGCAGTGCAATAAAATGATGCTACCAGTATCTACACTGTAGGACTAGATAGATCAATACATCTGAAGAGAGAAGTCTTCCCTGCATCACTCAACGCTGTGTGACTTTCTTGAAGAACCAGGGCAACTGGTGCGATGATATAAAAATGGTCCGAAGTCCAGCTGTTTAACACATAATGAATTAGATCTGGGTTGATCATGAGTGATGCAGTAACAATACTTTATATATAAACTCAGTGAATCTCCGAGAATGGCCTTAAGCAAGCCGGGTCCATGTTATTTGGCTGTGTGTTGTACTAGTGACTATGTGTGTCAGTAAAATTATAATGTTTATTATAGATTTTTCATTAGGATGTTCTTTTAGTTAGCAATAGTTTACTCTTTTCTATGGAACTGTATAGATATCTTATTTATGTTCTGTTTTTTAATATTGTAGTCAAGATTTTCTCATTTGTGTGTTTTGCAAGTATTGTCAGTAGAAAAACGGTTAGGTATTGCAGAGCAGAATTTATCCTTCTTAACTGGTTTTACTTTACTTAACCTTCCTTTAATTTTTATACTATTGATATTTCTTTATACTATTCTAATATGTAAAAAAAGCAGAGTTTATATATGCCATTTTATATATATATATATATATATAAATATATATATATTGTAAAGTGTGTGGAATCTGTTGGCGCTATATAGATGGCGATGATAATAAAATATATATATATATACACACACACCATTAAAACCTACTATAATAATAAAAGCAATATTGCTTTTATTGTTTAATCTTGTTACTTGGTGTGATCCGATCGCTTTTGTAGCTGCTGGACCTAAGTAATCTTCATAGCCATTGATTTAAACTACACAATCCTGGGTAGAATTTTGATCTCTTCGTTATATATGAAGTGTGACTGGTGACTGGATACAACCACAGGCTGTCATGAAAACCCAATTTTGTTAATATCTTTTGCGGTAAGTTTGATTCTTAGATCGGTTTGCCATGGTAACCATCCACTCTTCTGTTTGAATTCTATCGTTGGTGTTATTAAATTTGCAAGTAAAATTGCAAGTTTTAACTATATAACTCTTTGAGTATTTTCTCTTATCTCTTTCTCACCCCCCTCTCTCTTTATAGCTATTTGTGTAAGATTGTATCTTTTGATATAGTGTTTTGCATATATTACTTACTGCTGGTCATTAGAATGCCATATAGGGTATCTGTAGTATCTAGATAGCGAATTACTATTCTTTTATTTATTAAAACCACCTGCCTAATATCATGGAATGAACTCCACAAGAACTGTACATGCCCTGTGATATAGGCACCGAGATATATTCAGCAGATCCTTTAAGTCCTGCAAGTTGCGAAGTGGGGCCTCCATGGATGAGATTTGTTGTTGCAGCACATCCCACAGAATCTCAATTGGATCTACATCTGGGTAGATGTATTGGGAAGTTTGTGCTTAAGGTATAGGCTGGATAAGAAGGGGAGGGTTTGCAAAGACTGCAGACAAAATAACTGCAGCTTGGTAATCTGTTTTTAGACATATCCACAATGAAAACATGCATGCATTTAATTACGCTTTTTTCATCGGGGTATATCTATTTTATAGTAATTTCTTTTTTTTTTTAATAAATATATATATATA